CTGCCTCAGAGCACAGCAGTTGCCCCAGAACAGCCCAAAGCCTCCGGACACCGGCTGGCAGCACGGGCGGCGGGGCCGCACACGGCAAGCGCCGCACGCTGGGTTCCCGTTCCTTCATTCTCTCCCAGCAAAGGCTTTGAAAGCAGTTGCAGTTCACTTTAATTAGCCTTATCAGTCATCCCGGAGGCCAGCCTCTGTGCCATTACGACTTTTTTAAAACGGTTCCAGTTATCCAGAATGACCAGACCTACGTCAGCTATTTTTAAACATCAAATTGTGTCCAAGTACCAGTTCTAATACATCCGTGCTGTCCTGGGGAAAAATCCGCCACCTCTCGAGAAACCCTGGCTTTTTGGTCACTCTGTTTTACAAAGTTCGGCAAAATCTCACTTCTTGCAAAACTACAAAGGCGCTGGCGGTAAGGATGTGTTTCTGGATGCTGCTACTTCCAAGCCTGTGTGACCCATTTTTAGAACCCAACGCGCACCCTGTTTCTACACGAGAATAAACAATTCATTCTGTTTCAGTGAGCGACACTAAGAGTTTGGTCCCTTTTAACTACAGTACATTTCCTCCATGAAAACAAATCCATGTGTTATTTTCCTGTGAGAATAAAGATGGCAAAAGAGTTCAGGCATTGTAACTGGCCTACTTAAAAGCCATGCAATTATAAAACACAACACTTCAGTGTTGTACCGTCAGACCTACTTCTAACGTAACTCCTGTCATGAAATGGTGGCAGTTCCATCAGCACGTGCGTTCAGTGAACAAAAAATTAGTAGAAAATAAAGGTATGGACAAAAATGATTCTGGCAAAGGAAGAAAATGCTCAACATTGACCTAAAACAAGCCACTATCAAGTCGGCATAATGTACTGAAAAAAGAAACCCCCAATCCCCACAGCTCCTGAATGATACATAGCTATACATCTGTTCATACTGATGTAAGAAAAAGAGTTATTACAATGAATCAAAAGGCCAGATTATATTGTGTTTAAATATGAAACAGGGATATAGTAATAATGGTACCAATCATTAGGCAGCTGCTGAATTTCACCAGTGACAGGTGGGGAAGAAATTAAGTGATTCAATGTAACGCATTAAGGTTTAAATCGGCATACAATACTACACACCATTCTTGAAGAGACACCGAACTCGGACATAATTGCTTTAAAATAGTGTCTATGGCTAAATTTCTCTCTCCAAATAAAGAAACTTGACTATGAATGTATCTCTAAGACAACCCATACTGCTTTCCATTGCCCCCCAAGGAAAAGTTTTCCACAAAGAGCTAAAACCATCAGTGCATGCTCTTTAACGAACTCAAGGAAGTCACAGTTCACGTGGCACCATGCTTACTAGTTACAAAACACTCATGAAACATCTATTCTTTATAGTCTTAATTACAAGATATTCTAAAATTTTAGTGAAGCATCAGATATAGTTACAGTGTGTTATATACAGTGTACAGAAATATTTTTTTAGGAAAAAAATAAATAGAAACAAATACGTAAACATCCTGAGTGAAATTCTGCTGCCACTGAAGACAGTTACAAAACCATCACAGATATGAGCACAGGCAGTATTTCACCTCTCTTTTTAAAGCATATAGCAGTGCACATAACTTCATTCAAAACAGTTTAAAGTGCAGACAACATTTAAAAAAAAATCATAAGCTTTTGAAAGCTTTACATATGCAGATTTCATTCATATCTATTACGTCTCCTCAATCCTCTCTCTTCTGATTCAATGGCATCTTTATTTAACATTTCTTGGTCTTCTACCATATCTGGCTCAAACTGATGTACTTCACATTCATCAAATATTTCATGCTTTTCTATTCTGTAATCATTATCAACATCCTCAAGCAAATCTTCATTACTGTCTTCTCTGTCGTCCATTTCTTTCTCTTGAGAATGTTCAGCAAATGACTGAATGAGATCTTCAAGCTGCTCATTACAAATGTGGCTGACATCTTACAATTCACAAAAAAAAATCAAAATGAAAGTTTAAATTACTAGAAAGGTTAAAAATGTCAGGTCAGTTTAGAAGTAGAAAATGTATTTTTTTATTTGTTTTCTCTCTTTTATTAAGACTTAACTAATGTAAAAATTCCCCAAATGTCTAGTGAACCGTTCTCAACATTTAAGATTTCTCTTGGACTACTATGCTCCTCCTGGAAGTCTCCAGTTGAAACTACTATACAATTTGTTGTGTAATATATTATGCAAGCATTACCCACAGCCTCGGAGGTCTCCATCTGGGAATCCTCAGACTAAAGTCAGTCCAATACTAACAGACTGCTCAGGAACTCACAGTCAAGAAGCCCATTTTAACAAAGCAGAATGTGACTGTGCGGTCTTATCCTAGTTCAATTTTAGCACTAGTTCTTAAAAAAAAAAAAAATCATGATTTTATCAAAAATCTGAAATTAGATACACACCTCAAACAGGAAGAATGGTACTCCTCCAGAATGAAATAAATCCCACACATATTACCTAAGATGCAGGAGCCGAACATGATTATAGGAAGATCTGTTTATTCTTCTAAAACAGGAACTACTCAGTTATCCATCCTGCTGGAAATCAAAGTACCTTTCACGTTGTTTTCTGATTTATCCAATCCACTTTCTTTCATCAGTCGTCTAATTGATTGGAGCTGTGTCATTATTTCATCTTTCTGCTCACAAGCTAAAGCATTAACACTAGCAAAAAAGACAGATGACAACAGCTGAAAGATTATCTTGGAAGTGAGTGCTTGATTATAATACACAAGATTGCAATATTTCATTCTGTGGATTAAATACCACAGCTAAATTAGTGACATATTTAGGTCAAGCTTTTCTTTGAGAACTGTCTCTTGAGCAGTGGGGAGCCCACCACATAGACCTACTGAATAATGCAGTCACTGAATTCCAACACTGGAGCCCCAATGGCCAAGGCTGAGTAACGACTACTGAAAGAAACAATCATTGAAAGTAATTTTATTTTTAGTACAACAATGCCTAATACAGAACTTCAGAGTTTGAGGCTTTTCTCCTTTATTTCAGGTTTTGTTTACTCTCTCTCCTCCCCATCATTACTAGAAATTTGTTAGGCAAATTGGTCAGTGAATTTGCTGCTTAATAGTTTCAGCACATTCAGTTCAGAAGTACACTAAAGCAACAATCATGAAATCCTGCACGTTTTAAACTAGGCTTCATGAAGGATGTCAGTCTACACAAACTGGACCACATGGATATTTTTATTTCCAGTAGATGGATAAGGCCCTAGCTTCTTAAGAAAAGAACATCTCTAAAACTACAAGGAGGTTACATTACTTACTCCCTTGTTACACTACAACAGAGAAGCGGTATTTCCACGAAACACACACAATCACTTAACAGGTTCATTTCAAAACACAAAAATAAGCAGCTGTACCTTGATAACTAATTTTGTCTTCTAATTATATCAAAAGGAAGAAACTCTTTCTGCTACCAGAAATCTCATTTCCACAAGGATTTTCAAATGCTACCGAGCTTAAGTATATTTTCACTATTAGTCTCCTTGGTCAGTATTAAAGTTTAACTTGTTAAGCCACAGTAATGTGATCATAAGTGTGAGCTTTTGCATTTGTTTGGTGAACAAGAGATGGGAGGTGTCTGTGGAAAAGATTACAAACTGCAGAATAGGTATTACCTGCAAAAAAGCTACAGAAACAGTGATTAAAGAAGGTTCCTAAACACTCTTCCCTACCTATATATAAGGAACATTCTAAAAACTCTTTGTCAACATTTTGGAGAATTTCAATTTACAAAAAATTACTGAGATCTTTTAGAAACACTCACCAGTTTGACAGTGGATCCAACTGAGTTAATAAAGAATTTAACATTTTCTCTGTCTGTGCCAGATGCTGCTCCAGTTCTAAAGGGGAGAGAGAACATTAAGAAATTTATTTACAATGCCAAAAGGATTTTTTTTTTTTTTTCAGTCAGGCAGATTTGAAAAAAACTATGAAAAATATGAAAAGGGAGCGGTGGGGGTAAGAACAGAAGCTTTACTATGTGTGCTCAGAAGTCCTTCCCATCCAACAATGCCCAAACAGAGGACACCTTAGCAGAAGCTGAGCAAGAATGTGGCTCTCGCCTTCCCAGCCTCAAAAACTCTGCAGTTCCAAGACTTCCTGAGGTGTAAGTAGTGTATTTATACTTAATACACTGTCAAGAATTTGCCCACTCACAACTCACAAACATATTCAACACTTAACGCGCTAGAGTTGAAAGAAGTAACTCCTCCTAAAATACTATTAAGCTTTGAAAAAAGAAGAATGCCACACACGAGGATGGTGCACAGGCAGAGCAGTAAATCACTGCTGATCCTGATTACAGATCTGGTGTACAGAGACACCAAAAGAGGCTGCTAGTTCTTTAACTGAAAATGTGTATATACAAAGGGAAAAAAAAGGATGAAAACAGCTCAACTTTGATGTGCCATAACTTTTTCTCCACAGGAAAGCCCACTTCTTGGCATGTGTAGAATAGACTGAATCAGACAGTCAAGAGTGCTCTGTATCATGAAGAAAAAGATGGTATCCTTTATTCTATCTCTGCTATAAACAGTTTCGCAGGTCTCTGGCCCAAAAATTCAACAGTCTCTATAATTGTTTATCCATACTGTTCCACTATCAATACAGTTCAATTCTAAAGCAGACCATTATATCCTTTTCAAATACCCTATTAATTCTGGAGTATTATATCCTATTTAAACATCCTATTGTCCTGAAGAAAACTGAATAGGTCTTAAGTGAAAAAAATGTCAGAAATTAAAAGGCAGAGAACCATACTATACCACTACAGCTGTTTTTAAAGAGTGCTACCACCTGCAGTTTTCAAACAAATCTCTAAGAAGTGTTTCAAATATACAGAATAACAAAGTGGGTTTTTGTAGGTTCCTAACTGCATGTAAGTAACTTAGAAGATTGTTCTCCTTCAGCTAGACTGCATCAATGAAAATATGTAGCTTGTTCCAGCAGGAAATGTGCGTTTTTGGTGAACATACACATTCTGAATGGGTATCTTACCAGTTTCCTTTGCCTTGTCTTCTGTACTTTTTTCCTTTTTGGAGAGACTTTCTTCATGTGACTTCATCTTTAATAAATATAATTGTGTTAAAAGACTTCATCACTATTTGTACATTAAACATAAAAATGCTTTTAGAAAGTTACTGAAACTAAATAGCAACCACAAAAATGTGCTCCATTAACGAAACTTTTTTTCTGCCATGTCTTCTTCCTCTCTTAAACTAACATTTCTGATTTTAAGCAAAGACAACATGACTAACAAAAGTTGTAAAAGAAAGCAGTTGCTATTTCAACTCCAGTTTTCAAAAATGAACACATGGAACCTTCTACGTTACTGGGTCCAGTCTCCTACCATTAACTAGGAAGTACAATTTCTTTCTTAAGGTAATAAAGATGCTATTATAAAAATATTTACATTTCAATCCCACAAGCGCAAGTGTAAAGAGTTGTAATACCCAAACTACTGTTTTTATTATGTTTACGTCTTATTTACAACTTAATTAAATTTATTTTTAAAACCAAACTGGTCAGCCTCTATGCTCATCTTGGTAAGCTGTTGTATTTTTCTCACATAGATTATATAAAACTGACTACGGAAATCAAGATGCTTTCTCCGGTCCTGTTCATGCTTAAGATTTTTTTTTTCCCCTGAAGGCAAGCAACAATGTTCCAGGTGCACTCTCAGCACTGCAAGTGCTGTAGTATCACTTACTATGAATAATACATATCAAGACAAGATATTAAAAAAAAAACCCAAAAAACAACCAACTGATCATGTGTTCTCCTTTCTTAATTTATTAACAGTAGAAAAGCTATCACATTTCATGGATAGAAGTCTTATGTTGCAGCTGCATGACCAAATGAGAAGCCCAGACAAAAGGGCTAGACTACTTGCTATTCTGTCTAATTGCTAATCTAAGACTACTGCTCTGCAGGAGTCGTCCATCTCCTTCCCACACGCGACCTCATTCTGAAGAATGAAAAGGAAGCAAAATACTTCAGAGGCTTAAGTTACAGCCTCAGGTAACAGCACTGTTTAGGTTCTCACATTGCTATTTGAGGTCCGGGCAGGGGAAGGAGTGCAAGATTCTCAATTCTTGAAGTGTCTAAAAAAAGACAAGTCAGAAGCCTTCACAAGGAAGAAATAGATATGCTATCATTTTAGCTTTGGAACTCCCATTCAAAGTCAAACTGAGCAAGAAATGGCTTTGGACAACCATATACACGGGCTCTCAATTGCAGGGGGAAAAAACCCAAACCAGTTACATTTCCTTCTGATTTTAATAATTTACTCCTTTTCTTATGGCTTACCTTCAGAAATTTGTATGCTGCAAACACTCCCACTCCAAGAGCATACAACGGCATGAGGGTGAATGCTAACTCTCTACCATTTCCTCTTGTTCTCTCACTCTTTATCTCTTTTTCCATTGCATTTCTCATCTGCTGAATACTCTGATAAGTATTACTGTCAGAATTTCCTGGATTAAGGTGAACTTGATGAACTGTCTGAGGACTATCTTAAAAATGAAATTGAGAGAAAGACAACAAAGTTAGAAAGGAAATTAAGAGTCCAATCAGCTTCACAACTGGAATTAAATTGTTTCTTCTTGTGTCATCATCTTTGTTCATCACTCTTCTAAGATGGTGTGGTCAGCCCTGCATCCAAATAAAGTTACAAAAGAAAAAAAATTAAAAATCACTCTTTCATGAATAGAATGCAAAGTTAAATCTAGGCAGCAAAGACTCTCAAACTAAATTTCTGTGTTTCTTTAAGACATAAGTTTTAAGTTTCTCCCTTCACAGCAATATTGGCAAACCCACAGCAAGCCACAGAAAAGTAGATGTAACAAGAAACAACTTAGATCTTGAAATTAAAGTACACTGAAGAGAAACTATTGATAATGCCAAGAAGAGTTACAAATCAATATTTTTCCTCTGCAACAAAGGAGTTAAGTAGAAACTTGAATTGTCTAGTCCCACAAAAAAATGTTTTGTTGAAATACACATGCTGTGCTGCTGCTTTCATTATTTTGACAGTAAATTCAGTGTTATGTGGATATTCCCACAAGCTTAGAAGCGCTGTAGCTCTGCAAATCATATATTTATCAGGAAAAGATTACACAATAGCAAAGAGATGCAACCTTGGAAGCCTGCAGTATCGTTGCATGTCATTTGCCTGCCAGAACAGGGAGCAGATGAAAGAACAGCCAGTGTCATTGCTTGACTTGGGAATTAGGTTATTTGGTAGTTAAATCTGGGGTTCATGGGACATGCACATAAGAAACAGCCCTATCCGCTAAAGAATGCGGCTGCTTGCAGAGGCAGACAGCAGGTGACTGGGGGTGTGTGAAGTTTTACACTGACGTCTCAACTGACTGCCTAGACTTGTACTTTCAAATCCCTTTGAAGATGTAGTTCGTCACAATTTAACGTATCAGAACCAAGTATAGGTAAAACAAGATTCCCGTTTGATAAAAACTCCCAAAGACCATTATGCAAATCATTCCTTGTCAATTAATAGTGAAACAGTGGCATTTCAAAAATTTACCATAACATAACTTGAGTGTGAAAGAGACAGCCACAATCAGGTAGAGAAAAAAAATTAACATTACAACTTCCAGTGAAACAACTGTTTGGCTACAGCTTCTTCCAAATACATGAGAAACAAGAATCTAATTCTGCTAACCTAAGCTGGTACTTGGCGATAAGAGATGTCCAACAGCATTTTAGAATTGTCTAAGTCGCAGTAGCCAGAACAGTTTTTCAGACTTCCAGGGATGACCCTGACTGTAGCGAGGTTTACTATCAGCTGTGCAGTCAAGTTGTGCCAGGCATTACCGCTAGTTCTTCCACATCATTGACCGGTTTGCCACACGCGCATTTGGGAGTAGACCTTTTATCTGTATTTTTGTTTAATGGAACTTCAAACAGAAGTGGATAGTTACACAAAAAATTAAACACCCTAGATGATACAGGCAGAATTCAAGCTACCTTAATCATTTAATGCAAGTTCAGGCAGACATTCACCTTTCAACATGAACAGGTTCAGACTTACTAAAACAGCACTAACTAATCTGGAAATCACGTTTTATCTCACATACATTTTTCCTACTTTCAGAATGTTTCCCATTGATTACTACTTTTAAGTTTGCACTCACTCTTTCTCCCTTACTTTCAGTTCTATTTGTTTTTAATGTAAATGATGAGATTTAAGAAAATACCTAATAGCACACATGAAAATATTTCCTCAAGTCAAGCAAACAAGAATGTGGTCAAGGAAAACAACACCTTCCTGGCACAGAAGAATCCTAATGGAGTCCAGTGTCCTGCACCAAGTTTTTCCCACAAAAGAAAGAGCAGAGTGAGCTACTGGCCAAACAGAAGAAAAACCCAGACAGGTGAGAACTGCAGATCTGCCTGAAATTTATTTCACACAGTGCTGGGCCAATACATCAGTAGAATCAGAGGCATGTGAAGTGCTGCTTTTATTAAGGATTGGTTTTAAAGAAATTTGATCTATAGGAAATGACAGCTACCATACAAATTAAAAGTAATCAAGCAAAACAGGCCAGGGTAGAGCTTATGAAGCACATTAAGTTTGACATCAGCTGGGAAGAACATGGTAGCAGCTCAGGCCTCACTTTTTCTGCCTTTGAAAGCTACTCATGGGGAAAAGCACTGACACATAATTTGGAAGATTACAGCAACTATCTGTCTCTTGGTTTACAATGCGTTGGAAGGCATCATCAATGAATCACAGAGCTACCTCAAGCAAGCAGGCTTTGTGTTATTTTCCAAAATGAAAAGAGACCTTTGAACCTTGAGCTAAATCCTCAGCTGATGTATACTGACACAGCTTAACATACGTGTACATCACTTGAGCTTTAACAAGCAGTAAGTTCCCTAGCCCATTCAGTGATATCTCTTCTAAACAAGCATCTTGGACTCCTTCCAATCCACGACCTGACAAATCTCAAAGGAGTCTGTGCTCATGTTTACTTACAGCAACACTTGGCTTCTTTACGGCAGCCCCAACAGGCGCAGTGAATTTTCTCCTCTCTCTGACACCTCACAGCTACTCATCTGCTCCAGCCACTAACTGCGGCCCTGCAGGCACCATTCGTTAAACTGCCTCCAGTAACAGGGTGTCACCTGCACTTAACTGTAATTTCCTCACGACAACGCAGACAAGCAACAAACCCGTAACGCAGCAGCAGAGCACAACATGCAAGGGGGCGGGCGGTGGAAGGTCAAGGCGCAGAGCTCGGAGCACGCCCGCCAGCCGAAGGTTCCAGAGAAGGACGGGGCAAGTGGGTAAAGATTGCTACAAGAGGCAACAGCAGCACATGGTGAAACCTCTTCTCTCTAGCTAGAGAAAAAGGTTTTAATAAAACTTAAAAAAAAAATCAAAACAGAAAGAGGTTAAAAACAGATTCTTGGAAATAGTTTCTCTAATGAATAGAGGAAAATATCCCACCTTCCCATAGGATGAAGATAGTGAGAATCCATACTGTACTGTTTCCTTTGACCACCACCTGATTAAACTTTCAAATATTTAATATAAGTCTTCCCATATTAGTTACTGTACCCTTGAAGATCAGACACCAAGATGGAAAGTGGTGCCAATTCAAGTCCTTTGTGGGGATGGATTGGTCCAGGCTGCATGAGTTACCAAGGATATACACACACATATTTTATCAAATGGATCGCTAAGCAGAAAGCAAACTCAAGGAAGAAAATTCCCACAATCCATAATAATAAAGAGATTTTAAGTCCCAGACTTTCAAAACAGAGCATGTAAAAAAACAATGATCTATGTAAAAGCAGACTGGTTTTCAGATGTTGAGTATCTGTAACTCGCTCTGCAGTCAGCCAGATCTGTAAATATTAAGGGAATCACTTTTTTACCACGGAGCCCTGCCGGGTGGGAGGCCGCAGACTGGAGTCTGCTGGTGATCCGTGGGCCGGGCGACCGGGGCAGCGTCGCTGCTCGGTGTTCGGACAGCACCACGTTTATTTGATAGGAAATGCTCTGGTGAGTTGGGTCGGCCATAGACGAGTGAGTGTAGCAACAACAGGCGTGCGGGGCAACACACAGCAGCCGAAGCTGTTCGCATTTCCTAGAATCATAGAATCATAGGCTGGAAAAGGCCTCTAAGATCATCGAGTCCAACCGTCCACCCAACACCACCATTCCTACTAAACCATATCCCGAAGGGCCACATCTGCATGTTTGTTAAACACCTCCAGGGATGATGACTCCACAGGGCAGCCTGTTCCAATGCCTGACCACGCTTTCAGTAAAGAAATTTTTCCTAATATCCAATCTAAACCTCCCCTGGCACAATGTGAGGCCATTGCCTCTCATCCTATCGCTAGTTACCTGGGAGAAGAGACCAACACCCACCTCACCACAACCTCCTTTCAGGTAGTTGTAGAGAGCAATAAGGTCTCCCCTCAGTCTGCTCCTCTCCAAACTAAACAGCCCCAGCTCCTTCAGTCGCTCCTCATAAGACTTACCTCTCACCAGCCTCATTGCCCTTCTCTGGACACGCTCCAGCACCTCAATGTCTTTCTTGTAGTGAGGGGCCCAGATCTGAACACAGTACTCAAGGTGCGGCCTCACCAGTGCCGAGTACAGAGGCACGATCACCTCCCTGCTCCTGCTGGCCACACTATTCCTGATACAAGCCAGGATCCCGTTGGCCTTCTTGGCCACCTGGGCACACTGCTGGCTCATGTTCAGCTGGCTTGTCGACCAACACCCCAACGTCCTTTTCTGCTGGGCAACTTTCCAGCCACTCTTCCCCAAGCCTGTAGCGTTGCATGGGTTGTTGTGACCAAAGTGCAGGACCCGGCATTTGGCCTTGTTGAAACTCATACAGTTGGCCTCGGCCCATCAATCCAGTGTGTCCAGATCCCTCTGTTTCACCTGAATGGATTTCTCCTCAGGAGGAAGCCGTGGTCCAGTAGCAGGACTGATCCAGAAGAGTTGGGCTCTCCATCAAAAACAAGGGTGTGAACTGCAGTACTGGGGCTGAAGAGGGTTTCTGGTGGTGAGGAGGAATCTTTGCTTGTCATAAGATAAACAAATTGCACTCAAAAATTTTTGCTGGAAAGGGTTGTATAAAACTGGAGAAGATGCTGAAAAAGTGGATGTTTGATGTTTAGTCCACTTCGTACCACAAGAGGAAAATGTTGTGAGCAATGAGCAGCTGAAGGATGAGTACCCTGAGGAAGACTTGGGAACACACATGTACTTGAGTACCGATGGCAAAGAATGCCATTCACTTGGGTGGATTTGAAGCCAAAATGGCAGATAAGAGGGTATAACCTTGGAAGTGAAGAAGCTTGTGAAAGACACTGCACCCAGTTTTAGTAGTTAGGAATAGGAAAACCAGAAAACATTATGACTAAAGGTATGTGTGTAGAAATATGGTTAGAAAAAAATAAAAGTCCTAGGGAGACAACACTACTGGCATCTGTGACGGATGTACTCGACCCCGTAACCAAACTTGCAGTAGTTTGGTTCAGGCTCCAGAGGAGGTAAAGGCCTAAGCTGTAAATGGGCCAAGAACTCCTCTAGTTTCAGTCTGTTCTCTGAAAACCCACAAAGGAGCAGAGTGACACAGTGAGCATCGAGGCATAGGAGCTTGGAATGTCGGTCATGTGATGAACCCATGAATAGCGGGTGGCTTTTCCAAGGCTCATTTATCAAGGAACAAAGAAAGTTGTGGGTACAAGGAGTCTCATTCATACCTTTCCTATCAGGTGTAATTTGACTACAAGCCGACCACTTCATTCCATGAATATGACAGCCTAAGTGAGCCCTCTTTGTGCTCTCCTGCCTAAGCAGTTGGCTGCATGGTGGTGATGTCCCCTTGAGCTGGGATACCTCTCAAGGTTGTTCCTCAAGGCAAAGAGATGCTTTAGCAGCGGCAGATCTTTTTTAAGTGACCAATGTTGCACATAACCTGGTAGCATGGTAACTTTGATTTTGACTTGGTAAGTTTGATTTTGTCTTGGTAGCTTTGGTTTGTACCTTGGTAACTTTGATTTGTGCCTTGGTAGTTGTGAATCGTTGTTCAAATGGTTGAGCCATACAGTAATAGAGTGAACCTTGCGATCGGACTTTGTGAAGTCGCACGTGTACAACATCATATTAAAACCTCTTTTGCTAACACCTTTGATGGTGTTTCTTTAAGTGATGAAAGTCACCCATTCACAACAGCAGCCAGTGGAGTTACTGTAAGATCCACATAGAGACTAAGGGTGAACGGAAATGTACGAACACCAATAAACCTAGGCAATAAAATACAGGATCTTTTAGAGAAGACATAAACTAGGTACTTTAATGATAGAAGAAACTTGCTGAAAAACAATCACGACTGGAAAACAAATACCAAACATCATTCATGTTCAGGAATCACAAGTTGCGTTAACAGTGACAGACTGCGAAGGAGTACGAGGTAGCAGAGTGAATTACTGGCCCAACATTGGCATGTATACCTAATGAAGCTGTCTCTGTAAAATTCTCTGGTGTGTATGTAAAACTTGACCATAGGGGGGCAAGTATTTGTTTCTAGAGGCTCTCTTAAAAATAGTTAAAATACTTGCGCACCTGAATTTCCAGGAGCTGTGCATTTTTACTTTGAATTAATTTTATGTACCAAACAGAAATCCTTAACGACCTGTTCAACAACAACAAAAAAACACCCAAAAAAAAGTTTAATGTTTAACTAATTAGTGTGACAGTAATTTCTTATCTGAAGAAAAAAGTGCATTTCAAACATCTTTTCAGTTGCTAGCAAGTGCTCTTACAAAGTTAATTTTCAACAATGAAGGGCGAAAAAGCTCAGCAAATGAAATCAGTTCATATTTTTGTGCTGCAACAGGAAAAGTCAATGAAAATAAAACATGGGTACTTGCCTAAATAAGGGAAAGTATTTCCTTATGAAACTCCAGCATATGATATCTATCTGTACTTTATTGCCTGACTGGTTTTATCTGATTGTAGATTAACATTGCACAATTATTTCACCTTTCATGTTTTGCAGACTTGGGATGCAGCTTTGGCAAGGACTGCAAGGGCATGGGCAAATAAATGCGTTTTTGAACATAATGTATACTTACATAAGAAATATCAGTGCCATCCTAATTTCACATCTATTGGAGAGAATATTTGGGTTGGAAGTCATCAAGCATTCTACGTTGCTGATGTCATTAAATCGTGGTATGATGAGGTCAGATTCTATACTTTTGCAACGCAGAAATGTACGAAGGTTTGCGGTCATTACATTCAGGTAAGAGTTATCTTCAGTAAAATGTCCTGTATAGTGCCTACCACATCAATCAGTAGGGGCTGTAAATAATCCAGGGTTGTATATAAGGTTTGTAGTGACTGACAGCTTACTGTCTTTTGTAATCTCAAACAATGGCTCTACTGCTGGTTACCCCTGCACTGGTTCCCTCTTTGTCTTGCATGATTTTGTATAGTAATCCATCCTTGTCCACCATGATGACCTCATAAAAAGCCTTGCTCCTCATTCCGTTGTGTCAGTACTACATGAACTTCATAAAATAATCATTTCAAGTTTTCTAGCTGCAAAGCCATGTAGTTCTGGATTCTGTAAGTTTGGAGGTGCTGTTTGAAATAATCACAGTAATTGCAGAATGTCTGTGGGAACTCCTTAGTAGAAATTTTAACAGAATGAGAAAATCCAGCCAAAGTAAATTGTATTCTTTACAAATCTTGTAAAAAATGAAGGGGTAAAGAAGAGCATCAAGAACAAAAAAGAGAATTTATAATGTATTTTGGATTTCTCAGTGGTAATTCTGGCAAACTTAATTCTGATAAGAAAGTAAAGATTCTCTTTGAACATTTAATATTTTAAATGGATTTATTCATTCCCATGTTTAAAAATAAGCTTTGCAATAGAATTAGTTTCATCTGTGAGCAAACATAATATTTCACCGATCTAAAACAGAAAATAATTTTAATGTCATCCAGATCTTACCTAGTAAAAGTGACTCTTTAATTTCTTACCTCAGTCTTCATAGATGCTTAGACTGCTCTTTGTGCAAATCACAGATGAAAATGCTGTGCAGTATACTTACAGTGAAACTGTTATTGGACACTGTGGTAGCTGTGACGTTCTTTTTGAGTGGATTTTGGATCGCAAAATGAAAATAATTCAACTTACCAGAATCATTTACAGAGCATTTTCTGTTTGGGTCTTTTTGCACCTCTTTTTATGTCTTTGCTCACGGATTTCCCCTCAAGTGTTAATTCTTGTTTGCTGCCCCTGATTCTGCCTGTAACAAACCCAAAAGCAAGGCTGGAGGATTGAAGTTTTGCTGTTTATTGGGAAGTAAATCCTTAGAAGATTAGAACGAGACAATATCTTAGGAAAGTGTTTTTCATTTTTTCTCTGGCACAATAAATTATAAGAAGTCACGTAGCAAGGTAGTTCCTAGCGTTTTAAAATTTGCTGATCAACCTTGTCTACACAGAGTTCTGGAGGGTTTTCACATTTCTCTTGGAGTGATGTTCACTGCTAAGCTTTCTTTCTGCTGTTTAATACTGCTTGCTCCTTTCTTGTTACACATAGTTAAGTTCTATCATTTCAGGCAGTATGTCAGGCAGAATTACAAAGGAAACTAATCACTGGAAAAAACAAGCAGAGTACGTGTGTTAAACACTAATGAACTTGTAGAAGTACATATGTCATCAAAATTGATAAGCAAAGACCAGGAGCCATCAGTCTGGAAGACTCAGACACAAAATTGAAAACGGGTAAAATTTCATCATAAATGATCATAAACGGATAGGCTGTGTAGACCTGCTAAGAAAGCCATGACACAGAAATCTCAAAATGGTGGAAATCTCTAAAAAATATATGAAACTATTACATAAAGGCCTCTGAATGCTTAGTCCTTAATCCAGGATTCAGTTAACATCACATTAAATGTTAAGATACTTCTCAAAGAAAGGTTATGTCTATAAACATAACCAGCTAAAATTGAAGAGATGAAACTTTTGGGAATGTTCAAATAAATTCGTCAGTCTGAGGCCCTTAATCTTCATACTGGGGAGATATTGAGAGTAATGCACTATGTCTTTAAGTTTTCCAGAAGTGGAATGTGCGATCATCCAAATGTTCTAGGTATGTAGTTAACCATTTTTACCTGAATTCAGTACAGTTTGGTTCGTCATATGCAGAAGGTATAGGAAGAATCTGCCAAGAAAAAAGCGGATGCTCAAACTGTAAGTGATGGTAAACCATATTCTCTTAGGTATGGCAGATGGCACTCATTAGTCTTAAAAGGTGCAGTGCTAAAGCTTTCAGACTTAAGTCTACAGTAGTCATCAGCCAGATGACTTCCAGCACGCAGGAGAAGCCCTTCATGCAGACCTGAGTTATGAGTGTTGAAATTAATTAAAGGAGCTGTTGGTAGTTGCCACGAGTTTAATTTTGTTCGTTGGAATCTACCCCAGGATCATACATAAGTCAGTGACTCTTAGTGAAATTGTTCTGTAGAAGATTCTGGAAACTTGCAGCACAGATCGCTTCATCTTGCGGGATGAATGTTTAGAAGTTCATCTTAAAAAGCTCGCTTACCAGCAACTTTTTTAAATGTGCAAAAAGATCAAATGTTGCAAAATGAAAATAGTATGTAGAATCTCTGAAAATAATGGAAACTTTCTAGATATTAGAGTAGGTTACAGCTGAGTGTAGGTTTTAATTTACCCTTTTTTTTTAGGTTGTTTGGGACTATTCATATAAAATAGGCTGTGCTGTTACTCTGTGTAAGGAAGTTGCAAGAATACAAAATGCAGCAAATTTTATTTGCAACTATTCACCAGGGTAAGTTGCTGGTTTAAATGTTCAAAAAAAAAAAGAAATCAATTGTAATGACAATTGGTTGAAAGTAATCTGGGTTCTTTATTTATTGGTAGTGTTGTAAGTGCAATCAGAGAAAACGATGGTTGTCTAATGCAATTATCAGGAGAGCATTAGAGCATTATGAGCATTAAAATGTGTACTTGCTTAGTTTTTTAATCTGTTAACTGTACTGATAAGTCTTGTTCTGTGCCAGTCTTAAGCAAACAAATCCCAAACTTAACTCATCCTCCACTTCATTGATCTATTTTTTGTATGAAACAGAAGAAACAAGGAAGTTGCTACAACTGCTGTCAGAGCTGCAATTACCTCTTGGAGTTTTACAAATTTTTTAATTGCACTTTAGCTTTTTTCCCCATTTCTTTTTTTTTTCTTAGAAATTATAGAAATAATAGCACAGTTGTTAGATCTGTTGCTTTTCCTTTCTGTGTAACTGAGTAAATAAAATTGCATTATCATTTCTTGCCTACTTAATAGCTGTGATTATACCAAATGTTATTTAAGCATTAGAAAACAGTAAATCATCAATGCAAGAGAAAGCTAACCACAACCTGTGATTTTACATTTAAATGGATATTCTGAAAAAGCATAGGCCCCAGCCAGTGCTGTTCCTAAAGAGGGAGGAGTTTGAAACCACAGAGGCACATAGTTTTAAAATAGTACATTTTGTCTCATAAAAATTCATAGTCCATAATCAAGCACATGCATATGCAACCTCTTTGTCATTTTTAAAACAGACATAGCTTGCGAGCTTGCACGACAATTGCTTTTCTCTTTTTCTTCTAGCAAACCTGGGCCACTACTGGGGAGTTCAATTAGCCTGAACTAAAAAATTCGTTAAGCCCTGCCCATCTCTTTTCCTGTATCACAGAACTGGACTTGTACTTGAATTGTTATTTTGCAGCTTGCTGGGGTATGGAGCTTTGTTGCTGTTTTCTTTTTAAAATCTGAACTAAAACGTTTCCAGTTGCCAGTGGAGAATAATGACTAATTGACATCAACACTGGTCTGTCGAGCCTTGTCACTTGAGACTTTTCTAATCTGTAACAACATACCCTGTTGGTTTGCTGTGCTGTTCTGCACATCCTGGAGAACTGGTAGCTCAGCTGAACAGCTGTCTAAGATGGGGTCTAACATGCCATTGTTCTTCTGTCCACTGCTTGATACCAAAAACGCTGATTTCTACGTCACCACAGAAACAAGTGGAGTTAGAGCAGGCAGACCATCTTCTAACAGCACCTTTTCCCTTCCTAAACTGTCTGAAAAAATAGGTAAAACATTGCCACTGGTCATTGCCACTCTCCAGGTACCGGAACAATAATAGCTTTATGGAAATATTAATATTACAAAATATTCTATTTAGTTTTTATCAAAACATTTTAGCTTTTGTTTTATTTGTAAGGTTTATCAGTGGGAATTCTTAGAGTTTTTCAGATTTTATTGAATGGAAATCTGACGAGTTTGTTTTATCTAGCTAGTAAAGATCCAAGGAGAGAGAAATCATAGCTGGCTGGTAAGACTGTTTATTTTTTTCCTTTTTCCAGGAAATCCAGAACGTGATAAAATTATCTGTACATATTGCAGTTTTACACTGCCACTTATATTCCTCAGTTACTTTAAATGTATGTAGTCCAAATAAATCTTATATTTATATGCTTATTTATAGATTATTCAAGATGGCACCCACCTTGGGAGTTCAGAATTGTGTGTGATGAGACTTGTATCACTCTTGTCGTTTTGAGAGCATCACTGATGTTTCTTGCCTTTGTAGCTGTTTATTTGATCAAAAAACACTTTACAAACATGCATATGTCCACCTAACTGGATTTGAAATACATACTGTCTTCTGAAGATACTTGCTGCTAAAGAGTTAAGCAAGAAAGTCATACTGATATGACTTTAAAGACAACTTTTTTTGACAATAAATTTGTGGCTGTTATTTTACACTCCTTCGAGAAAGCTAACATGCCAAAAAAAGTGAAATTATATGTGGGTAAAACCCATATTGGGAAAATACTAAGCTGAAGATGGTATCTGGCAAGGTTTGAAGCCTTATTTTTACAGATCAAATGTCTCAATACTGTGACATGTTCTGTTCCTGGAATTCAAGGAGAAAAGTACCTGTCAGTTAAACAATTGTTACAATTCATACTAAGCCCAATATCTGAAATCTCAATTGCTTTATTTAGATGCCAAGAGAAAGCTAGAATTGTGTTACGTACTCAGTAACTTTAGATTTATTACTGTTTTGTTCCTAACTCCCTCTAAGCCTTGTGCTTAATTTCAGGTTTTTTTATTGTTTTAACTTGTATTGTTATGTACGCATAACCTATTTCCTGTTTTGTAAGTGTTCTAAAATTTTAATAATAAATTTATTTTATCTGGAAACTTGCTCATGTCCATTTAGTCAACACAGATTTTGCTCTTCTGTATTCCAGCTGTGGTCTTTCAATAATATGCTTTAATTTTGCTTTCTCCAAAAGACGGATTAAATTTATACAAGAATCTGAAGCTTTTTTTCTTACCAGTATAGCAGACTAGGTTTTTTCCTGATTTTATCTTAGTCTTTTCTACTGAATGCCAATATGGCTGTATGAAATTTCATTATTATTAGGTAATGTTGCACCATTATTGTAAAATGAACAAAAAAACCCACAAATTCTGCTATTTTCTTAATGTTCAGAACTCAAATTGAGCTTAAAGGAAGCTTCTGTGAGTTCAGCTTTAGGAACTAATTTGTCTTACACTTTTTTTTGTGTGTGTGTGATTGATTGACATTTTAGGTCTAAAACATTGCAGATTATACTGATAATTCCATTGATTATAGAAAAAAATACTTTTTGTAAGTCTCAAAGAAAATAAGATAGACTTTTATTGTAGATTTATTTAAAATTAGGCATGTGCTAGCTACTTCTGTAAGTTTTCTATTCTAAAATTACTAAAATACAGAAAAGACTTTTCAAATAGAAGTTTTATTATTTAAAACTTGGATTACATTCTCAAATCTAGAATATTATAATATTATAATATTGTATACCTAAAACCATAGATAGGTGGCTCCTACATACAAATTGTGCAGTATGACAGTTCCAGAGCAGCAGCTATTCCCATTGGTTTAGCTGGAAGTTCCTGATGTTCACCACCTCTGAAGATAAAATCATTATTTCGATGCTATATTAGGGTTGAAAAGCTCACTTCAGAGCTAAATCTCAGATGTCTGTAAGGAAAAAAAAGTTTCCTTAGTACCCAAAATACAAAATTTGGTGCTAAAATAAAGCTCTTTCAAATTTTACGGTGTTAGTATTGCATAGTGTTAAGATGCTGCCTTTTTACAAAGAACAGCCCCCCCCTTAACATTCACTTATGAAAACTTAAATTTTCCTACTTGGAGCTGTGACATAGCCTGGAAGAAACCAGGATCTAACACAGTAATTCCCATCCCTGAGAATAACTGTCCTTCTTGTCATTTAGTAACTCCATTACAGTTAGGACTGTGATGATCAGAGTACGCCTTGGAGAGAAGGCAAAGTTGAAAAAGAGCTCTGCAGTCTCCCAGAGCTTTAGAAAAACCTCAGTTCCTACTGGCCATGTTTATGCCAGGCTGATAGTAGGCCCTTCCTCGGAGACACAGTTTTACTGTTCATTCTGAGCTAAGCAGTGTGGAATTTGCAGCACTGAATGATGTGCAGATTGTGATGCCATCAGATCCGGTTTCAATGCATGAAGTAGTTTTCCATCTGTGAAAGTATTTTTTCATTCTGCTTTCCTGAGTTTGTGATACAAGGTTTCTGTCCTCAGTGCTGGTTCTTGTGGTGTCCACACAACATACATATAGTTTGCCCCATTCCCCAATTGGGTGTCTTTGGGAGGAAATCTAGGAATGGCCGAGAAGACCATTCATTCCAAGATCCCTTTTTAAGAACATCATGGATGTGGACTGTAATAGCTTGCTGCATCTTTTCTCAGGAGATTCCTGAGTATTATTTTGTAATATTCTAATAGTATTGTAGCGGTTCTGAACTTTCACACTTTCTTGCTGCTCCCATCCACCAACCATTTCTAGTGTTATCCTGTGAAAACAGGCTTGGGATGCACAGCAGAAAAGCCACCTATTTTTCTAATGCCTTGGATTTAAAAAGAAAGAATCAAATGTGACAATTACAATAATTTAAGTTCAAGAAATATAAATCATGTATGAAGGGCAAGGATGACAACCAGAGATCCTCTCCAGGTAGGCAAATGCGCTATAACAAGTTCCCTGTGTCTACGTTGTTGAGATCATGCTAAATCTTTGTCCTGCACAACCTGCTGAAGCTTTGGCTCCAGCAAGGAGTCACAGAGTGGTTGAGGTTGAAAGGGACCTCCGGAGAGCATCTGGTCTAACACCCCTGCTCGAGTAGGGCCACCTAGAGCTGGCTGCCCAGGACCATCTCCGGAAGGCTTCTGAATATCTCCAAGGATGGAGACTCGGCAACCTCCCTGGGCAACCTGTGCCAGTGCTTGGTCACCCTCACAGTAAAAAAGTGTTCCTGATGTTCAGAGGGAACCTCCTGTGTTCTGGTTTGTGCCCATGGCCTCTTGTCCCATCACTGGGCACCACTGATGAGAGCTTGACTCTGTCTTCCGTACACTGTCCCTTTAGGTATTTGTATGGTTCAGGAAACCTCTGTCTTCCACACCATTATCACTACTTGTCCATCGTCCCTTCCCAGTCTCTAGCAGAGCTATCACTGAAGGGAGGACCAGCCTTTGGTTCGTGACTCACACTTCCCCTGTCCTTTGGTTGAGAGGAGAGAGTGAAATGGGCTGTTCTTCAGGGGCCAAGTAGATGTGATAAGGGGCCACCATGGTTGGCAGGAGGTGGGCACCACAGGGGGAAGAACACCTACCAGCCTCGTGTGCTTTGGTCCGTGTGACATCCTGGTGCTTTGTTCAGAGAACACAACAAGCAGTGCGTTGCCATGTTGCTCAGTTCAGCCAAGGGCCATTGTTGCAGTAAGCAGCACTGTACAAATTCCCCTGACCAAACCTGCAGTAAAATTACCTGTAGTCCAACTATATACTGATGGCCTCAACTGTTAATTGCGAGGCTGCTTGCAGCCTCATTATTACAAAATAATTGAAAGATTTTTTTGAATTTTATTTTAATAAATAATTACAAATAAATAATTACAAAATAAATTATTACAAAATAACTCCTGTGGAAATCCAGTACCAGCACCGTCCTTTGAAATATTCTGTTTTCTGCCCTGAGGTAAGATTGTGTAATAGGAGCAGCACTGCATTTCAGAAAATCAGTTTATTCACAGGTCTGGAAGGTCAAGTGATCTTGCAGCTGCATAATCCTGGGGACAGAAGAAGAAAACCTGGCAGATCCGCCCTTGTTTGTTCAGCTGAACCTAGTAAGTCAAGGACAAACAGATTCTCTCCCCAACACAAATAACTGTAATCTGTGGGGAAGCTGATGATTTGAGAACAAAATTAAATGTAGTTTTACAAATTCCCGGGTGTCTTGGATTTCCACAGTGATCTGTAATCCACCAGCCTTTAGTCCTCTGACTGAATCGTACATCAGGAAAAACTAAGAATCTTGGGTCTTATGTTTCTTCCAGCCATTTTAAACTGAAAGCAGGTGAGGAGTGAGAAAGGGAGATGTAAACATCGAGATTTTTTCAAAATGGTTGGACTGTGCAGCTGCCTGCCCATACCCAGGTGATTGTGCTAAATTTCACTTGGGATCTGTGCAGGGACAGGCAATGCTTGTATTGTCCAGACAAGTATAATGTTATATGCAAATCCCAAAGCTTAATTTTCATCTGGTTCACAAGATCAACTGCTTAATGCTGGCAAAGGATTATAACTCACTTTTTGTGAAAAAATTACAGTTATAGATGCTTGAGGGCAGGCTGGACTTCTGCTTTAATTATGGACAGAATCACTAGATGGAGCCAGAGCCATCTCTGTGGGAAAGTGTCTTACAACCTGGACTGTGGTGGATATGTCAAAATTTCCTGCTTCAGAAAAATCTCGGTTCAGTTTCCAAGCACAGAATTTCAACTGCATGCGTATGTAACTGCCAGATCACTGCATTGCTAAATCGACAGTGCAGTTTTAGTGTGATGATAATTTTTGTGCAAATTGCGTGTAGTTGGAATATAATCACAGTTTTACATGAAGTCTAGCTGAACAAAGGCTTTAGATTCTTACAGATTGCACAGGCTTTATTAGAAAAGAAAAAGCAAGAGAAAGCATACTTACTTTCTAGTTTCAAGATTCAGCTGGAGGAAGGATAAATGGCAGTAAACTGAACTCAGTTGGCCCTAGTTTAGAAAAGAGCCAGGGTGACTTTCAAAGGAACACACATGTGGACAGACCTTCTATGGTCAGTTCAGAAGCAGAGGAGAGGGCCATTCACCATAATGATCTAAAACGTTATAATTTGATCTGAGGATGTCTCCTTTACCTGTTGCTCCACACAGATACCATGCTGCCAGTGGCACCTGTATGGTACCTTGTGGGCTTCAGGAGTGCGCGTGGTGGCTTGGAGGGTCTTTGTAGCCCAGAAGCAAGCAGCTGACAGGACAGACCAACCTCTGTCCTCTGGTAGGACAGAAGGTAATGGCACCCACAGGAGAAATACTCTGTCCCAAGATCCCCTTCACCATCCCAGCAGTCACCAATGCCAGCAAGAGACCATCCTCCCCTCCATTTTAAAGTGTTCCATCACAGCTGAGGGCCCTATCACCTTTGCCAAAGCCCACACACAGTTTCTGGGATAGAGCGTGACAGCAGAAGAGAAATAAACTACGTCTGCTAGACAAGGGACCTTGGCACTGTTCGTGGTACACCAGGAGGCGGAGTCAGCAGGTGGATCTAGTAAGGGTAGGGGAGGTCCTGGCCATTGCATACGTGTTCTGGAGGCAGATGGAGCCACAGCCAACCACTGACAGAGCACCAGGTAAAGCAATTAGAACTAAAACCCTATTGCTGGGCTGCAAGCGTGACTTCCGCCTTGGAGTAGGTGCTTCACCTTCTACTTCCCTTTACTTGCCCAGGGAAGTGAGAGTTTGAGATGATTGGTAGGGCCTCGTGCATGTTTTCATCAAGGATGTGACAGGACCAAAAGCGTCTCACACCCAGCTTGCTGTGCCCACAGAGAAAGAGAAAGTGGCCAGTCTCCTCCCACTGACCACTTCGGCTCTGTCTTTTTTGAACAGAAATAGTTTATTAGAGAAAAAGCTGGTGAGCTTTCTGGGAGAGTTTCAAAGCACGGGAAACTATTGTAAAAAAATAGAGAGTTTCAAAGCACAGGAAACTACTGTAAAAAAAACAAAGGGGAAGAAAAGATAATACTTGTTTATTTCCTTCTCTGTCCAGGTCTTCTGTGCCTCTGAGGGCTGCTTATTGGTAAGGGCTGTGTTAAGCCTGTCCAACAAGAATAATTGTAAGCCTCCTTTTTGTTTCTTTCCCAAAAGATCCCAAAAACCAGAAGGTCCCCACACACACACTTTGTTGCCTCCTACAGCTGCCCCTACCTTCATGAAACTGGTCAAGAAATCCTGGCAGGGCTAGGAGGAGGGTGTGGAGAGTTAGAAATGCACAGACATCCATACAGAGAAATATTTCATTCTATGCTTCCCATTGATGGCATAGATGGGTATAGCTGTGATGGTGTTGGAGGGCCACAGCTCCTTCAGCCTATCTGAATTAGGTGTACGAATTGTTACGAGACTCCCTGAAGTAAATCAAGGCTATTATTTAAGAGGAAGAAGCCATCATGCAAACAGAGATGGTAACACCGGAATGTTAATTTCCACAAGTGTTCAGCGGGATAAGGCCTGAACTGCGAAACTGAGCAGGGAATCAGACCCATGAACGTTGTTTACATTCTACAACATATTTTCTCTGTAGACCTACCTAAATCTCAGTTAAAAGACCTTAGCTCTTAAAACATGTGGTTGTTCTTATGCTCTTGCATGTTTATACAATTTGGTTTAGGTTTGGAAAAAAAAATTCAACCAGCTTGTAGAACAGTTGTTGAGACAATACAAATCCCAACACAGCCTGTCCTACCACCCCAAGAAGTGATGAGACTTACGGAATGTTACACCGGGAGTGCTAATGGGAGCACAGGAAGCTCCTGCAGTGATCTCAGGCTACCAGATAACAGCAAATTGCTGATGAAGGAGAGAATCAACACATCACTGGCCAGCAGGAGTAGGGAGGTGATCATGCCCCTGTACTCGGCACTGGTGAGGCCGCACCTTCAGTACTGTGTTCAGTTTTGGGCCCCTCACTGCGAGAAGGACATGGAGGTGGAACGATACTGGTGAGGGGTCTAGAGAAGAACTCTTATGAGGAGCATCTGAGGGAGCTGGGACTGTTTAGCCTGGAGAAGAGGAGGCTGAGGGGGGACTTTATTGCTCTCTACAGCTACCTGAAAGGAGGTTGTAGCAAGGTGGGTGTTGGTCTCTTCTCTGAAGTAACTAGCGACAGGATGAGAGGCAATGGCCTCACATTGCGTCAGGTGAGGTTTAGATTGGATATTAGGAAAAATTTCTTCACTGAAGGAGAGGTCAGGCATTGGAACAGGCTGCCCAGGGAAGGGGTGGAGTCACCATCCCTGAAGGTGTTCAAAAATCGCATGGACGTGGCACTTCAGGACATGGTTTAGCAGACATGGTAGTGTTGTGTTGGTGGTTGGACTTGATGATCTTGGAGATCTTTTCCAATCTTAATGATTCTATGATCCTCAAGCTCGGGATTTCCAAATCGTATTTCTGTTACACACCAAACCCGGTCAGAAGGTCTGTTCTGCAGCAAGCTGCTGTTCGGAAACTTTTTTTTTCTTCTCCTGCTGAGGCGCAGTCTTTCTGATTCTGTTTATTCATTGAGTAATTCTGAAATGGAAGCAAGTTCCTGCAACATGATTGTAACTGAGCTGGTATGACTAAGCTATACTGTAGAAAATCAGCTGAACAGCAGTTTTGTATTTTGTCAAAGCTACAGTTTTTATGGTTGATGCAGGTTGGTGGAAAGCTGTTCTGCAGCATCTCTTCAGATAAGACCTATGATCACAGAATGGTTTGGCAGTCAACCAGGACAGAGCACACTCAAAGAAAAGGCAGAGGTGTACCTGGAGTGTTGCTCCTTGCTGATATGCATGGCAGATGCCTGTTTCACCGTTTACCCAGCTGTGATGTCAGATAGAGCTGCACCTTATGAAGCAATTTCACTTCCTGTTATTCTGACACTTTCAAGTACTTCCACACCCAGAGGACAGAAAAACTGGTTGCCAGTATTATCTTCACCTATGAGATTTTTCTTTTAAAAACTTAAAAAAGCTATACTGAAAGCACTGAAAAATTATGAAAATCACATTTTTCTCTGCTGCATTGTTCTTACTGGATCTCTTTGCTTGCTGTTGTGCTTATCCACAGTATCCCTTGCCTGACATAGAAGATGCAAAGTTCATTGAAGATTGTGTGAGAGCTCACAACAAGTTTCGATCCAAAGTGGATCCACCAGCCAGCAATATGTTTCGCATGGTAAGGAGGCATTCGTGATCTGTTTGAAAATCAGCATAGATTGTGCTGCTGATTTAGCCCATCTTATTCTTCATTCGCTTTGTGCTTTCTTTTCCCTTTCTGTCAATGATTTCTGTACTATATATGTTAGTTCTTTGTAGGAAATAGAAAAGATATTAATTTTCATAGTATTGTTCAGTTTTAAGAGTTTGAAGGGGATTCCATGTTTAGGGGTGGATTGATACTCTAAACTTCAGCCAGAGCAAAGGGCTGTATTGCAAAAAACAGTGTCCACAGAATCACAGAATGCCCCTCTGGGCAACCTGTTCCAGCACTCCATCACCCTCAGAGTGAAGAATTTCTTCCTCATGTTCAGCTGGAACTTCCTATGCTTCAGTTTGTGCCCATTGCCCCTTGTCCTGTCGCTGGGCACCGCTGAAAAGAGTCTGGCCCCATCCTCCTGACACCCACCCTTCAGATATTTATAAGCATTTATAAGGTCCCTTCTCAGCCTTCTCTTCTTCAGGCTGACCAAGCCCAGCTCCCTCAGCCTTTCCTTGTAGGAGAGATGCTCCAGTCCTCTCACCATCCTTGTACGCTCTCCAGTAGCTCCTGATCTTTCTTGAACTGGGGAGCCCAGAACTGGATGCAGTACTCCAGATGGGGCCTCACTAGGGCAGAGTAGAGGGGCATTTCTTTCACCTCTTTGTAAGAGAGATAGTGATCTGTTTTGTGGTAGGTCATGTTTCATACAGGGAAGCTGTTTGGTATTAAAAATCTCCCAAACAGGCAACATGCATGACAGGATTTATTGTAAATCTATCACCTCTTATTTCTTCCAATCTGGGCATGTGTTGAAGAAAGGGATTTGCCGGGGCATCTATTTAGATACCTGATCTTCATCTGCTGTAGCAGGGTTTGGGGAGTAGGGATACTAATATCTGGGCTGGAAAGCAGAGCTTCCCATAAATATAATGGATATCAGAGCAGGCTGTGGATAGGTCTCAGCTTGCTCAGTGGAATACATAAGGAAAAAGGTAGCTAGATAGCTGAGGGAGGTAACCCCCATCAGTTCATGTCATTACTCTGAGCCCTCTAGCAGTGAAGCATAGCTGGAAAGGAAGTGAAATGCCTAACCGCATGCACAGTATGAATCATTTCTGTGAAAGCAAGCTTAGAGTACAGGAGTAAAATTCAGACTACTCATTATTATAATTTCTTGCATTTTAGACAACAGTACTTAATTTAAAATGCTAGCTCACAAGAGCAAGCTTAGCTGCTCAGACCAAAGATCCAGCAAGCCTGGAATAAGAGCAGGACAAATACACAGAAACCTCTTGAATCAAAGGTGTTGCATTGTATCGAAAAGCTCTTAATGGATTTTTCTTGCATGATTTTTTTTCAGCCTTGAGCTCATGCAAGTTTTTATCATACCTAGCACCGTGTAGCAAGAGCTGCACGGCCTGACCACAAGTCGTGCGAAAGTACCGCCTTGTGTTTGATTTGGACCTCTTAGTTCCTAGCTTCATTTGATAGTCTCTAGTCTCTATATTGGAAGGAGCAAGTAATTATTGCACATTTATCTACTTCTCAGAAGATGTCCAGCTGTCTCTGATCAAAGCTGCAGAGCACTCTGTGTTGCTTTTTGAAAGACCTTTATACTTGAGGAGGATCATCCTTCTCCATGTTCTTTCTGCCCTTTCCAGTTCTAGTGTCCCCTTCTTGAGGTGGGGTGCTGCACGCAGCATTTAACAGGACTTCTACAGTGGCCTAATTATATATGTGATTTTATTCTCCATTCCTTCTCAAGGAATTTCTAACACTTTATTTGCTTTTTAGACAACTACTAGACATTGATTTACAAGTGGTAATAGCCAGCTCCAAACCTGTCATTACGAACACAAAATAAAAATTTTTTTTGTCTCACATCCTTTAACTTACATTTCTCTGTGCTGAATTTTACCTGCCATTTTATTGCCTGGTCATTCGGTGGCATAAAATCTTTCTGCAAGTCACACAGACCAGTTACTCCAATTATAACTTGTGCCACTCGGCATGGGAATGGTTCCTCCACAGCTCAGCAGAGATGAGCGAGCCGTTTTATTTGCGTTGGCCACATGCTGAGGAGTGAGCAGAGCAAAGAGGCAGAAGGGACTGGGGAAGGGAGCAGCTATGACTTCTCTCTGTCCTGGCCAACAGAACAGAATTCCTGTCTGGTCTAGTGACAATTGCAAAGTGCAAACCCCTGGACAGTCAACAGCTTCTAGGCAAAAAGTCCTCAAGTCCCTCTATGGCTGGGGGTTTCACCCAGTTACGTCCTCTCAGGTGTAGCAGCTTAAAGACAGGAATCCAGCTCGAAAGATTTTAACAAGTCGGATACCACAGGATAGTGGATAGATTCTATGTGTCCTGCAATATTTAAGGCAGAAAGAAGGAAAAAAAATTTGCTATGGGAGTAGAAATGTCAAGTCAGAGAAAGAAAATGAATGCAGGGATGGGATGCAGAAACAGGGAAAAGAGTCCTTAAAAGTTTCTGTTTAAAAATGCTTTAATTCAACTAAGCCACTGCAGTGCAGTTTGTTACGTTTTTTTTCCTCTTCCGCAGTCCTGGGACGCTGCTTTAGCTAAGACTGCCAGAGCATGGGCAAAGAAGTGCAAATTTAAGCACAATATCTACCTTAATGTGCCAGGGAAGGTGCACCCCAGCTTTACTCCTGTTGGAGAAAACATCTGGACTGGCACAGCCACCATCTTCTCTGTGGATGCAGCTCTCAGTGACTGGTTTAATGAAGTCAGCAGCTATGATTATAGAACTGACAGATGTACTGGCATGTGTGGTCACTACACCCAGGTGAGTCTTCCATGCCCAGTGGGTTATAATGTAGTGGTTTCACAGAAAATCCAAGTACAGGCTCAGAACAGACCACTTTGGAACAGGAATTACAGCAGGGGTTTTCACCCCCCCAGTTTGCTGCTGCATGAGATCGGGAAGAAATATTCTGAGCCCCAGGGATATTTGAGTCCTATTTTCAGTAATGTTGGAAAGGGATTACTCCCCTGACAATTTCATGTTTCCAGGGGAGCCAGATAATAAATGCAGAACCATCTATAAATCAGTCGTGTGTCTAAGCTGCCCTTTGGGTTGTCAGTGTTGCTTCTGTGATGGCTGTTTTAAACCTCCACAAGATCCTTCCCTTCTCCTTACCCCCTTAATGCTGTTGCTTTTTCAGTCATTGAACGGGTGCATTATGTATTTCCCTTTGCCCCTCAGGTCGTTTGGGCAGAGAGTTACAAAGTTGGCTGTGCCGTTCACTTCTGTGATACAGTTGAAAATTTTCAAGGACTCCTCAGAGCAGCACATTTTGTTTGCAACTATGGGCCAGCGTAAGTTCATTATGGCATCTGGGGTTTAGGTTTTCTTATTTTTTAAATATTCTGTAACTGACCTGGTATCAGGTGCCAACAATGATGGGAGCAGTTGTAACACATTTCAGAACAAGCCACGTCCATATGTCACCGATCCAAGGGAAACTTCCCCTGCCATTGAGAACAGAAGTTGCTGGACGTAGTTGGAGCTGCAGAAAATCCCTTCCTAAAATAGCAGGCAAACAGATCGTAGCTGAGAGCACTCACCAGAACCAGGAGTGGTGGGATAAGATCTGTTTTGACTTCAGTCTCTGCAGGAAAAGTAGGGAAGGTGCAAGCTTCCTGCTTGAGAAAGATTACATCTTTGTATGGCTCCCCGAAACTTCAAACAAGACATTTTCATTGAAGAAATAAAAGGAAGACAGTCCTCTAGTTTATCCCGTACCTTGCAATTTCTGGACTTAACCTTTTACAGATTTGTTTTTAAAATACAGGTAGGTAATGAGGGACTAGAGGCAGATTCTTGTATGTTTACATTGAATAATACAGTATTGCCTGAGAAGTCTAATTAATTTCAAATTGTGAGAGTCACCAGGTAGCTGCTCCCCATGCCAGTGAGATCTTTAATCTCATCTAAAAGGAATTTCAAACAATTGCAGTGATCAGTTTTTGGATAAAGGGCTTTCCCCTCACCCCTCATAATAGCTTTTAATGATAAATTATTCTAACAAGCTGATGAAACTGTGTATTTAAATTGCTGAGCTAACAAAATACCGTTCTTCTGCTTTGCAGGGGGAATTACCCAAGAAAACCATATAAAGCCGGGCAAGCATGCAGTGGATGCAGGAATGAGAAGTGCGTAGACAAGCTCTGTGGTAAGACCAAAGTGATCAACTAAGAAAATGCATAGAAATAGAAGTGGCATATTTATCAATGGAAATATAACAGTGAGTAGATTTGCACTAAGTACGTAGTGGGTCTGCAGCCCACCACACAGCAACAGTACCAAATCCTGACAAGAATTGTATAAGAAGGAATTAATTGAAATACTTCTCTGTTGAAGACTCTCTGAGGTAGAAGCCAGAGTTTCTGAGGAAGACAGCTATCAGGCAGACTACTTTCTGCCTGTTATCTGATCAGGAAGTCAAATCTAAAACATTACCTTAAACAAATATTCCCCGTCTGTTTCTTCTTTCTTAACAGAAATGGTATATTTAACTTCTGCTTTCTTGCTTGTTTAGTATGTTCTATCACATTTTCCAGAAAACTATATATCGTTCTGACCCAATAATGACATTACACTGGAAAGCACACTTATTTCTAACTTCTGCAATTTTCTGAAATACAGCAGTGACAGCTTGTTTTTCTACAGCAGTTTGCAGCTATGGACCTTTATGTCATTACACCTAGCCCCAAATTAGTCAGACATAGTGTTTTAAATAAACAGAGATTTAAATAGTGTTTTAAACAAACAGAGATTAAAGAACATGCCACAAATCAGATATTAATTTTGTACAGAGGTTTAATGGAGATGTTCTCTACTAGCCAGACTGTAGACAGCATCGGCTGTAGAAATAGTTGAGTGTTTGGCACTCTTATTTCCTTCTGTGATATCATGGCTGATTCATCTTGAAGTCTGAGACTGATGCATCATAGGAAAACTAGAAAGATTTCAAAGACTAGGGGGAGGGAGAGGAAGAAGAGAGCTTTTACAATTAAGCGCTAGATCCTACAACCCGATTTACCATATTCTGCTATAGGGCAAATCAGCAGTTCAAATATGATGCCAGTAGGTAATCCTGCAAATGCATCAAAGCTGTTAGTAAAGGTCTATTTCTGTGATGAATTTAGTAGTTAGGTTTGTCTGTCTGTAACTACTTAAATTTGTTTTGTGTATCAATTTTAAATAAATCCCAAGTTTAATTTTGATTTGCTATTCCCTCTTCCCCATGGCACAAATTCTTCCTAATGCAACTGCTGCTTTTCTGCTGCTCTTTCAATTCAATAAAAAATATTTATTATCCCCACATCATCTGGGAATGCACTGCTGTTGGCCCTGTTCCCCCTGACAGGTTCCTCTGGGCACTGACTGGCATCTGCAGTGCAATCAGCCAGGCAGCAGCAATGGCTTACCGCTTTGCTTTAAGAACCACCACTGAATGGTACTCATATTAATTTCCTTTTCTGATCTCTCTACAGAAAATACAGAACGTGAGAAGCTGATAAGTATGTATCAAATTGTTCTTAATTGCTTTCCTACAAGTATGCCGAAGTTTGATGGGTCTTAACACATGTTTCTTTGCTGTTTTTTAGATTATTCCTACTGGTATCCGGACTGGGACACACAGCCCCAGCCACCGCAGCCCCGTCCCCCCAGACCTCATCCCCCCAGGCCTCCCATGCCGTCGTACATCCCCCCTGAGCAGCCACGTCCCTCCTGTGACCAGTACTGCCTTACAGTTTCAATTTTAAGGCCACTGTCTTTGGTACTGTGTGTTGGTGCTGTTCTTTTAGTACAACAGCGGTTTCCACACACTTTCTTCTATGAGTAATGATCAGTGAAGGTACTGGTAGTGATCCTACTGCTATATTACTCTCAGAGAATTGCACACATTTAAAAAAAATACTTGGACATCTCTCCATTATCCTTGTGATGTTTGTCCGGGATAGAAAAAGCTGCTTCTTCACTCAAGGCAAGATACAAGTGGCAGTGCATAGAGTTAATAGTAATTTATTGGCAGCAGCTGCAACACACTTCTACCTCTGTAAAAGCCTCTTAGCTCTGGCTCAGGGGTAGATTGCTAGAGGGACCACGTAGACTGTGTATTACTATATATGCTAACAAGCCTCCTGGAAACCTGGAGCATCATGAAGACACGTCTGAAGCAGCACACGGTATCCAGAAACAGCATCTCCATTAACCTTCAGTTGTCCCAGACATCATTTTCCCCAGATAATGCAGATTTAACTGTATGTATTACTTTTTAAGAACAGAAAGAGTAAAGCTCGTCCTTGACTCTATTTAGCCTACGTGTAACAGTCTCTGTTAAAGCTACTCTATTGTCAGTTGTACTATTCTGTTCATCTCCTCTCAGAGTTAAGCTTTGTGCTCCATAGCTAGAAGAATACGAGGGAAAGTTGATAGAACAAGGATTAAGATGGGGTATTAATGGGGAGAGCTTTATTTTACGATGTGAGATGGTGACAAAATTTGAAATGCAGAGTGGATGACAGCTATCCTGAGCTTGCAGGCAGGGAAGCTGGGGGAAGCAGGGAGGAAAAACAGGAGACGGAAGATGAAATGAGCCCAGGACAGATTCCGGTTCAGAAATGGAAGATCTTGGCCTCATTTAAAAAGCCCAAATCATTGGTGGATTCAGTTTGATTTTAGAGATATTTAGCCCTCAACCCTTGTTGTTCCTATACACATTTGTTAGTAAGGGAAACAAACGTGTTTCAAGCTAAGAGATACTGGCTGATATTAGCAATGCGTAACTGCTCTGTCAATATTTAAAGCTGTTTCTCCTCCTTTATCTGTGCCCTGCTGCTTTGAGAACACAGCGACTCAAATTCTGAGCCACATTGCAGCTCTGAAGGATCATGGCATCCCACAGAATAAAAATGAGCCCCAAATGTTTGGACTCTTGTCATATGCCACAAAATGTCACCATGTAAGAAGATACATGTTTAATTTCACAGTTCCCAGTTCTTGTGTGTGTGCTGCCATCTTTCATATCTAGCAACAGCAAGTAGGCTGGGGACAAGTGGTTGGGAATGGGACACAGCTAGGACAGCTGACCCAAATCGACCAAAGGGACATTTGTAGAGCCCCAGATCACAGTGAACAATTGTCTCAAACATCCGTCTTGAGAAACAGAGGTACTTGAATTAAGTAAACTCCTAAATCAGGCATTGTGCTTTGGGAACTCCCTCGTTTTGGTGAGGGACTGGGGCAGAGAAGCGGAACCCTGTGGAGGCAAGGTGCCATCTAGCAAAACCCACTTCTCTCCCTTTGAGATGTCACGGAGGCAGGGGGGGACCGTGAGACCACCGAGACCTCCCCCATGCCCACTGACTAAGCACAACAGTACAACAGTACCCCTCTGAGGAGGAGGAATGAAGTGTTGAAGACAATCTCTGATTTGTTGTTGCATAGCAACCAGTGTTCCAAGATAAGGAACATCTCATGGTTACAAACTTGCTTGACCAAGGACATACAGCTGCTGTGAGACTGTGTGAAACCAGGAGTTGGCAAGAATAAGGAGAACTCTGGTGTCCTCAGAAGACTCATGACCAAAGAAGGACAAAATGAGCAGGGGTCTTCCTCCCTAAATGACCCCCAGAGACCTTCTGAGACCTCTGCGCAGGTACAGATGACTTTTCTGGCTCAGCACAATCCCCACACAAGTGCAGACGACCCTATGTGTGCAACATAATGAATAGGTGTTAGATAGGTGAAATAATTGTATTAGTTAGGTGGAGCTTTTTGTGATTTTTGTGTATAAATATATGATGTGATTGTAAGTGCACGTGCGCATCCACCACCAGAGGACCCTGACCACCAGCAGAAGTTGTCGCTGCATCCAAGAGTGGTGATATCTCTTACCTTTCCTTTTGTTTTCCTCTCTATCTCTGATTTTCTAGGCACATGTTGTTTTAAGTTTGTCAATTTGCTATATTTTGTAGTTTGCTGTAAGTTTTGCCAAGTCAATATCCGTTCTAACCTCACTGCATTAAAAGTAATGTCATTATAAATATGTATAATGTGATTCTATGATAATGTCGTTATAAAGTCGCAAATTTACCATCTTTTGTAATCTCACTGAATTCCGAGTAAAGCTTTTTTTTTTTAATCAAGCCTCTGCAGTCTTTGTCATGACTGCTGGGTGCCATGCAGAGAATCGAAAAAGATCACCTCCCCACGACCCACCATGTGGGACAGGACAGATATTCTATACCATATAACACTGTGTTCATCAAAAAAAAACCTAGGGTAGAATAAGAAGAAAGGTGGGGGGCTGACTCCCAGGGTGGCCATTGCTCAGAGACTGTCTGGGCATCAGTCTGCCATTGGGGGTGGTGAATTATTGCCTTTGCATCACTTGGGGGTTTTGTTTATTTGTTTTCCCCCCTCTTTCCATGCATATTAAGCTGTCTTTATCCTGACCCATGAATTTTTTCACTTTTCTTCTTCCTGTTTTCTCCCCCTGTCCTGCTGGGGAACGGGCAATGAGCGAGCATCTGTGTGGGTGCTTGGCTGCTGGCAGGGGTCAACCTACCACATTATTCTGCTCCAAAAAGTCATCTGTAGGGGAGTTGTGAGCACAGTGCTTCTCATCCACGATTCCCACAGAGGGCCCTTATCACCTGTAAGCAGTGTCCCTTCCCACAGAGGGCCCTTATCACCTGTAAGCAGTGTCCCCATGAATAGCTGGAGGTGTGTGACCCACAGGACCTAATGTGTGCTGGTGGGGCTGCTGTTGCAGGCTCACAGTGTGACCCTGGACCACCAACCTGAAGTGGCCTTGCCACCAGCCCCAGTGCCCACAGGACTGCATGCGCAGAAGTGATAACCGAGACCTACACCCAGCTGTTCATTTCGAAAAATGATGCAGATTCCTAAAATGAAACCTAGAGTGGGAAGAAACCCAGCCTCATTCCCACAGAGATGTCCAGGTTGGGACTATGGGGAAGGGCCTGAGCTTGATGGACAGGTGATAATTAAGGACAGTGTGAGGAACAGGGTGGTGATCGTGGTGGGTCTGAGCAGGGAGTGTTGGGCACCTGTGGCAAAGGGTATGTGTCCTGGGTTTGGCCAGGACAGGGTTAATTTTCACCGGACTCCAGGAAGGGGCACAGCCGGGGGGTGGGGGCTGACCCCACCTGGCCAAACAGAGCCCGGTATTCCATACC